CTCTCTCTCTCTCTCACACACACACACACACACACACACACAAACCAAAAGTCATAAAATATTTAAAAAGACTTCAAAACTTTTGTTTTTGTTTTTGTTTTGAGACAGGGTCTAACATTGTAGCCCCGGCCAGCCTAGAGCTTGCAGTGATCCTCCTACCTCAGCCTTCCAAGTGCTTGGATTATCAGCATGTGCCACCATGCGTGGTTTAAGACTCCAGAACTATGTAGCTTGAAGAAATAATTATGTAGTGATTGGGAAAAAATATAAATGTGTTACATTTATAACTATATATTAGTCATTATTAAATTATAGTAGTATAGCATAAGCTGCCAAAGAAGATAGCTTATATTAAAATTTTTATTTTCTTTATTTTTGTCATACTGGAGATTACACTAAACTATTTCCTCAGGCTTTTTACTTTCAAATTTTGAGGCAGGTCTAAGTTGCCCAACTGGGCTTGAACTCCTGATCCTCCTGCCTCAGCCTCCTGTGGTACTGGGATTACATGCATGTATCACTGTGGCTGGCTGAAGAAGATAGTTTGCTCTTAAGTGCTTCCTTTGCGTATGGGAGGGGCAGTACTGGGATTGAATCTAGGGCCCTGTACATGGTGGGCAAGCATTCTACAACTGAACTGAATCCCCAGCCCTCGGTGTTTCCTTTTTTTATCTAAAAATTTGCTTTTGTAGTTCAATCCCCGGTACCAAAAAAAAAAAAAAATTTGCTAGTGTAATGGACCATTCATTCTCAATGACCTGATAACTGAAGTGTGTAAAATTTGGTTTAAAAATATCTGTACATAATTTTAAGATAATCAGAGAATAAAGCTTAAAATTGACTTTTGTATCCCTTCTCCAACAGACAGCTGGAAATGATCCATACTGTTTTGTGGAGTTTCATGAACATCGCCATGCAGCTGCAGCACTAGCTGCTATGAATGGGCGGAAGATAATGGGTAAGGTAAGCTGTCATAATAAAAGGTGACTTGCCTGGAAATTTTTAAGTTATTTATGGTTTGCTTTCCTTTTTAGAAGTATTATATTGTCAGGTATGTTGCCTCATGTCTGTAATCCCAGCACTCAGGAGGCTGAGGCAGGAGGATTTCTGTGAGTTCGAGGCCAGCCTGGATTACATAGTTCAAGGCGAACTACGTGACCTTGTTTCAAAAAAACAAAAAGGAAGCATTATATTTACTTTATAGCAAAAGATCAATTATGTATTCACATTTCATATTAAAAACTGGGATAAGCTTTTAGGAGAGAAGAGGACCGTGTTTATGTTTGTTTGTATTCTCTGTGTTACCTTGCATATGATAAATATTAAAATATTTGTTGAATTACTCAAGCTTAGATAAAACATCTAGTAACATTGGATGCAAATGGAGAATAAAAAAGGGAAAAATCTATTGGTTCCTTTGGTAAAATGGGTTATTTGAACATTAAAAGAGATCTATAAAGTTTAGGCTTTTTCAAGCTGTGCATATTGCTCAGTAGTAGAGCACTTGCCTAGCATGTGCAAGCCCTTGGGTTCAATCCCCAGTACTTGCAGGGTAAAGACTACAGTGTCAAACTGATCTGCATAAATATAGGCCCAAAGGTAATTATTGAAACTTTGACCAGGTCTGGTATCCCTTTTAATATTTCATCTTAAACTAATACGTACTCTCCGTATTCATAGATACAAATCTTGTTTTGAACTTTTATCATTATGGAGTGTAAAGGCAGAAATTTTCTTTTAGGAAGTCAAAGTGAATTGGGCAACAACTCCCAGCAGTCAAAAGAAAGATACAAGCAGTAAGTATATTTTGTACCCTTTGAACATTTGTTTTTATTATACCCAGTAGTTTTATTGTAAAGCTTATAAACATCGTACATGTTTGCAGTAATATTTTGATCGTTATCCTAAGATATGATTTAATGTGTTTGTGTTAATAAATTTAAGAACAAATCTAATCTTTGTCATCAGGTAGTACCGTTGTCAGCACACAGCGTTCACAAGGTAATTGTATCTTCTTAAACATAAAATGAAATCTCTTAGAAAGGCTATTCACTAACCACCTGAAGTTTTTTTGTTTGATACTGGGGGGAGGGGGGAGGGAGGAGATAGCATTTCTATTTGTTTCTTTGGCAGTATTTTCCCCTTTTTCCCAGTGTTCACCAAATGTGGTTTGTCCACTACTATAATGCTAGTTCAACTCTATGACCCCTTCGTAGCAGCTGATTTCTTAGAAATACTTTCACCACCTAAAGGGCAAGATACTCTGCTTCCTTGAGGTCACCTGGGCTTCATACCCAGATCTTCCAAGTGCTCAAGTTGCTCCTGAAACTGTTCCCAAAGAGCAACCCAGTATGTTGCTTAAGACCTGCCAAATAGGGGTAACCTGCTTTCCAAATATACTTTGTCAAAATTCATATATATACATATATATGTATATATATGCATATTATATATATATATATTCCTTTAAAAATGTTTGTCCAACAATTTTGCATTTTTGAGTGTTTCCTTTTTGAGTGTTATCTTTTTAAAGATTGCGTATGGGATGATGATTTCTTTCCAATGCTTTTTTAATGGTTCTGATATAAAGTGAAGGGATTACTGTTTTCATTCTGTTGCCTTCAGTCTTAGTTCACTTGCACATGGATTCACATAAACTGAATGGTGTAATGTCTGGGCAACCAAAACTGTTGGCTTTTGAGAAAACTGTCAAAATACTTTAACATCAAACTGTTGCAATGCAAGGTATTTCTTTGATTGTTCTTCACAAAATATGAGTAAACCAAGTAGATCATGTAGCTAGCTTCAGTAAATTGTCTTAACTGAGGCAAATCTAGTCTACAGAACTTACAATACCACTATTTTATTTTAGTTTGTAAAGCTTTAATATAGTGGTTAAAATGAATAAGTAAATAATTACTATTAGAATGGCAACTCTGATTTTTTTACAGAACTGAGACTTGTTATATGTTAGTTTATTCTCATAGACTAGCATAATTGATTATAAATAGAAATGTAACTGTGAGTTTTCAGTTAGCTTTATCAGTCTTTAGAAGAATCTTTCCTGTATTGTTACCTTGATTTATGTTTAATAGGATTTTTATACAGATAGTGTAGTGTTTTATTTATGCTTTATATTATAATCTATAAATTATCTTAAGAATACTTTTATTGGATAGATTGTAGTATTTTCCAAATTCTGACGTTCTATTTTTCTTTTCACTTCCCCTTTTATCCCCTTATAAGATCATTTCCATGTCTTTGTTGGTGATCTCAGTCCAGAAATTACAACTGAAGATATCAAAGCAGCTTTTGCACCATTTGGAAGAATATCGTAAGTAACAGAAGATAAATAAAATACTTGTAATTAGAAACAATTTTAGGTAAAAGTAATTTGAAAATAGTTCTGTTGTCAATTTGGGACACTAATGTTAACTCTTCAACATAGTGTATTAGATCGTTTAGAGATCATTCAAGATGTTAATAACAAAATATTATTATTCCATTAATGAATAAATCTTTAATCTTCAATTATCTTAAAATCCATTTTCAACTAGCATTAGTTTTTAAGAGACATTTGTTATTGTACATGTTATAGTTTCTTTTATAGATATTTTGCTAGTTTGATAATAATCTTCAATAACTTGGGCTTTGACTAAGCAATATTTGGGCACTTCTATGATACCATGCATTTTGTGCTAATATAACTTAACAAAAAACCCTTCAATTCAGTCTAAAAAGCACTTGTTAAATGTTATTTCCTAGTTTTTGTCTTTTTTAAAAAAATGTTAATAAAAATAGTGCCTTATAGTTTTTGTAAAGCACTGTCTTGCTTGCATTTGATATTAATCATATATTTAGGCCCTTTCTGAGTATCTTTATTCAAGGTAGCATTCATAATAGAACTCTTAATATTTTGAAAAGCATCCCATATTAGAGAAAGAATAACAAGGTTTTTTATAATAGTTAGTAATTGTTGAATTTAGAAAAAAAAATTTGGGTTTCTGGTTGCTTTTTATTATTTTAGCTAGAAGAGTGGTAAAAAGAAAGTGCTAGGGCCAGGGATTTGACTCAGTGGCACTGCACCTGACTCGAAAGCACAAGGTCCTGAGTTTGATCCCCTGTACAAAAAAAAAAAGGAAGTGTTGGTTGTGGTTTGGGTTGAACAGACCAACAGCAAAAACTAGGAGTTGAGAATGGTGGAAAGTAAATGCCAGTAGCATTGACGATGAATTTTAAGAGTTTTCATTTGAAGAGTTGTAGTTCATTGGTAAGAGGATGAAAATGCATAGTGACTAAGGAGTGACCAACTTCAAGATTGGGGCTTATAAATGGACTCTTCTATTAGATGAGATTTGTCTTTGTGGGAATTGATTAGAAAATAAAGTTTTAATTTCTTGGTTCTCTTATCTGCTTTAGTGTTTCAGTAATGGTTAGCTTGCTTTCAGATATCTAGACTTGAATATTTGGCTCCTCGAGGGTTCTATATGCAAAACTTTGGAAGCTTTCATTTTGTTGTGCAGAATCTTTATATTAAGTTTCATCCAATCCTCAGAGTAGTTACAGGACCATAAGGGATTAAGAACCCTATTCTAGATCTTTCCTGCTGCTTTTTCAGAGAACATTTTAGAGAGAAATAAGTAAGAGTTGACTAGATTTCTGGACTGACATTTCCTGAAGCTTTGAAAAGAAAATATTTTTTCTAGCATTTTAAACAGATTAAGCAGCTATTTTGTTAAATGAGTTTTGATTTAAGTAGGTTTTCTTAAAATGGGAATTTTAGTTTGGGATTATACAAAGATTGGGTAGTAATTGGTAAGTTTAAATTAAATGACCTAATTTTAGCAGCTTCATTATTTTAATCATGGATTGATAATTTCTTTTTTTGGTACCGGGGATCAAACTCGGGACCTTGCGCTTGTGAGGCGGGCGCCAGAACCACTGAGCTAAATCCCTGGCCCTGATAATTTCTTTATGTTGAATACAGTATATTGGTATCATTTTTAGTCTGAATTTTCTTGTGGTCCCACAATTACTGATGTATGCATTTTTTTTTTCTTGGTAAGGCTTTTCTTTAAATTTCATCATTTTTAGTTGATGCATGGCTTGCATTTAGTCATGCAAAGTGTTAGCTTTCCTAAATTTAAAAGAACCATTTGGCAACGGGTACCTTATTTTCCTGATTTTTATAATTGTTGTTAAAATACATAAGTTGACAGCTGTATGTTGAAGGGTTCTCATTATAGTTAGATACTCTTTTTTTTTTTTTTTTGTACTGGGGATCGAACTCGGGACCTTGAGCTTGTGAGACAGGCAGCAGCACCACTGAGCTAAATCCCTGGCCCTAGTTAGATATTCTTTATAGGGTTACTAAAGCAGTGTTTGGTTTACTGAAAATGTTATAATGAATGGTGGCCAGTTAAACTATTTAGTATGAAAAAGTACTTTCCCTTTTTCACACAACTTAAACTTTTCCTGTTTCTTAAATCTAAGGTGACACAGCAAATTTTGGGATAGAAGTGTATAAGCTACCAAATTAAATGCATGTGTACCATATAGATAATTTAAGAAGTATTTTTATATATTGTGAAGTGACTTGCATTAACTTTCCCTTTTCACCAGCACCTCCTTGTCATTTTGACTGCGCTTAATAAATCACCCCTAAGTTAGTCTAAAATATGCTTATGTATACTTTAATTAATATAAAATTACATTGCATGGCTTTCTGACTTGGGTTTTTGTTGTAAAAGTGCCTGTTTTGTTCATGTGTCCTGAGAGAACAAGCATTGTGACATACCTGGCTAACTTAAAAGCAGATTGCCTGTGAAGTACAATTTGAGTCCAATTTTTTGAGGTATGGAGTTTTAGCTATCATGGCTGGGTTTTTACTCAATCTCAAATAATAGGGCTCTGGTTATTTTGCAGAGTGTCTCTGAAGAATGGACAGAATTGCCCTGGCTAACTACAAGCTACGGTTCACAGTGGATAAATGTTGGCGTGCTTTTTTACTTTCTGATTTTTTTAAAATTTTGCTTTTATTATCTTGTAGTTTCCAATCAATCTTAATATGAATGCTATTATAAAATTCAGTATAAAATCTTTCTTATATAACTTAAAACTAAAGTGTGTATTTAGTATTTTTCTTCAATGATTTAACATTTCTGAAATATCAAGTTTTCACTTTACCCTAGCCCAAAATGGGGGTGTAGATTGATTTGAGAAAATGAAATAATTTAATTAGTTTAGGAAATATATAATTTTTAAATTCTTTTAGTTTCCAGTTTTCTATTTTATTTTTTTAATGATTAGGTAGAATATGGTATCAAATAGCAAATTATAAGTTGCATGGTTAAAGAAAGCCATTCATTTATTGTGTCTGGAAAACTTTTAAGTGGTTAAGTAGTAATGCATATGAATAGCTACTTTCACCATGCTTAATATATAAAATTATAAAAAACATTTTGAAATGGGAGGCAATTTCTGTATAATATGTACATATATTTAAGAAATTACTGCCGGGCATGGTGGTGCATGCCTGTAATCCCAGCACTTGGGAGGCTGAGGCAGGAGGATTACCACAAGTTCAAGGCCATCCTGGACTACATAGTGAGTTCAAGACTAGCCTGGACTGCATAGTGAGATCCTGTCTCAAAAAAACTAAAAAAAAGAGGGAAAAGAATTATTGATTTGCATGTCTATAAAGCCTCTTTTGCTGATACATGATAAATTTTATAGTAAAAGGTACATTTTCATTAAAGGCTCACTTTAATGATGGTGAAACATGAAAATGAGTTGTGTATGAAATTCTCATTTTATATCCAGAGGACAGTTAGCAAACCTAAACTTCTGATTGTTTCTGTTTGCAGAGATGCTCGAGTGGTAAAAGACATGGCAACAGGAAAGTCTAAGGGATATGGCTTTGTCTCCTTTTTCAACAAATGGGTGAGCTCAATCAGAAGTGCATGTGTAATGCTATAAGTGTAAAGAATGCATTCGATCCCCAGTAACAACAACAACAAAAAGAATAAAGAATGGAAACACTCGGGTTTTTTGGTTTTTTTATTTTTATTTTTTTTAACACTGTTTTAATTATTAATTTTTTTTCACTGATAATTAGCACCCTAAGAAGATATCTTCTTTCTCCTATTCATTTATTCAGCATATGTTTAGCACCTGATACGTGCAAAGTATGGATTAAATTTTTCATAAATTATAAACAGAAGATGTTTAGATTATCAGCCAAAAGTAGATGTTGAAAAAATCTTATTTAAGGGGACTGGAGGTATCTTAGTAGTAGAGCACAAATAGCATGTTTGAGGCCCTTGGGTCAGTCCGTAACACCAAAAACGAAAGAAAATCTTGTTTATGAATTTAATTCAGTACCTCCTTTTTTTATATTTTCATGGTAATTAAAAAGTAAGAAAATACTGCCTGGTATGGTGACATATGCCTGTAATCCTAGCACGTGGGAGGTGGGAAGCTGAGGCAAGATTGTACTAGCTTGGGCTGAATAGTGAGTTCAAGGTCAGCCTCAACTACATAGCAAGACCCTGTCTGAAAAAACAAAAAAATTAAGAAAGTACTCTGATGGGTGAGAGCTTTTTAACATATTATATATTGGGCCGAAGATTTAGCTCAGTGGTTCCAACGCCTGCCTCGAAAGCGCAAGGCCCCAAGTTCGATCTCTGGTACCAAAAAAAAAAATTATATACTAATACATTTGAGATATAACCATGTTTTCCTTTGGTTATTGAACATCAATTTGCCTATACTTTAAATTTCTGGTTTTTGCAGAGAAAAGGAAGGATACTGTGGTATGATTATAAAGAGAATTCCATGTATGAGGTGAAAAGCTGATTTATGTAAAAAAAATAAGAGGACATATATTTGTGTGATGTGTTTTGTGTTATTTTTCAGTTGGTACTAAGAATTGAATGTAAGGCCTTCACATTGAACTGTATCCCATTCCATTTTTTATCTGGGGTTAGAGTGTGTCACCATGCCCAGTTTTGTGTCTTACTTGTGTTGTAAATGTATTGCCAATTCAAATAATAAAGGGCTTTAAATCTTTTAATATAATAACTGAATATTGAAAGCAGTTAAATGCATCAGGATCACACAAAAATATAAGACTACAAATAAATTCTCCAGGAGATTGAATCAAGATAAAAAAAGTACAAGACTGCATAGTGGGACGATTTATATGCACAAATTTTGCAGTATACGTCAAGGTTTCATTAAATCTTAAATTTTACTGTCCTCTATTATGATTAGTGGTTGTGTATAGTAAGTACAAAAGCACTATACTTTCTGTGTTAGAGTGCCTTAGAATGAGACAGTAAAAGTTTTTTCTTGGGCCAGGGATTTAGCTCAGTGGGTCTGCCACCTGCCTTGAAAGCTCAACCATATACATGATGCATCCCACCTACCAATTACAAGACTTCTTTTCCTGTGAGATGAGAAAATAAAAATTATGACAGTGTAATTTTACTTGTTATTCTCAGCATAGTATTTTGGAAAGGAAAAAAAAAATACTTTATACATTGGACTGGTAAACACAATCTGAGTTCCTTAGAGTATTAATTCATAGATTGATGGTGTGTTTTCTTTCCTACTCTTTTTTTTTTTGGTACCGGGGATAGAACTTGGGTACTTGAGCTTGCGCAGCAGGCGGCGAAACCACTGAGCTAAATCCCCGGCCCTATGGTGTGTTTTCTAGTACAACTTGGGAAATAAGTTATGAGTTAGGGTGAGCTAGGAACTCATTTTTCCCATTTGAAATTATGGAATATAGACTTCTATATAAATTTCATTATTGATGCATATTTCATAGGACCTAGAGTCAAATGGTCTTCATTTAGATGTCTCACAGGTGTCTTAAATTCACCATGTCTTTTTATTTTTCCCTGACCTTGGCAATTGAACTCAGGGAATTTGCACCAAAGTACCCCCCAGTCCTTTTTGGTGTTTTGTTTATTTTGAGACAAGTTCTCATTAGATTGCCCAGGCTGGGCTTGAACTTGTGATCCTCTTACCTTAGCCTCCCAGAGTATGAGGGTTACAATTTAAATTTACCATGTCTTAAACAGAGCCCTTCAATACTCATACCTGTTCCTCTTCTCCCTCCCAATCTTGTAATTTAGTAAAAGCTAGTATCAGCCTTCTAGCTTCTCAAGTAAGAATCTAAGAGTTATCTTCATTTAGTCCCCTTTTGCTTATTGTGTCGTCCTCCTACCTCATTCTCTCCTTTTAGATTCTATCCACTGCTACCACCTGTCAGCAACATTTTTTTTTTTTGGTACTGGGGATCAAACTCTGGACCTTGTGCTTGTGAGGCAGGCAGCGGACCCACTGAGCTAAATCCCCGGCCCACCAACATTTTTTTAAACCTAGAGTATTGCAATAGCCTCATAAAATGTCTTTTTCCATTGTCTTCTTGAATCTTTCTCCTCCTAACACTAAGAGTGGCCTTTTGTTTTGTATTATGTTGTGTTGTATTATCGCAGTACAAGAGATAAAACTCAAGGCCTTATGGATGCTGGGCAAGTATACTCTTAGTACTGATCTATATCCCCAGCTCAGAAAAAACAAATCAAATCGTGACAATGCCTTATTTTAATTATTTTCATTTCAAGATCTGGAAGTGTACCTCAGTGGTAGAGCACTTACCTAGCATGTGCAAGGGCCTGGGTTCAGTCCCCAGCTCCACAAAAAGACAAACTGACAAACCTATAAAAGAAATATATCTTTCTTGATTTGGGTGTGGTGGTGCACACTTGTAATCCCAGCCTTTGGGAGGCTGAGGCCAGTCTGGGCTGCATATTAAGACCTTGTTACAAAAAAGTAAAATCTTTTGGTTTTGTTCTCTTACACCCTTCCTTTTTGCTCACTAGATTCTACTGAAACTAGTCTTGTTCCATGAACTTCTCATTCTTTCCAAACTTTTTCCTGCCTTAATACTGAAGTGCTTTCTTGTCTTCTGAAGCTTTCTTCCCCATCATTTTGACCATGCTAGTTTATACTCATCTCAATCTTAGAATAAATGTCATTTCAAAAATGATGGAACAGGGCCAGGGATTTAGTTCAGTGGTGCTGCCACCTGCCTCGCAAGCACAAGGTCCTGAGTTCGATCCCCAGTACCAAAAAAAAAAAAATGATGGGGCAAAAAAAAGAAAAAAGTTGGAGATCCAACCCAGTACCTAATGTATGCTAGACAAGCACTCTACCACTGAGCTATGTCCCTAGTCCTAGCCTTTTGTTTCTATCACTGCATGAATCTCAGTTTGTAATTGTAATTGTATTTTGCTCCCCAAAAGGATATAAGAGCAATCCAAGAATCTAAGAGGCTATGTGTCCTTCACTAGTGTATCCCTAGCTCTTAACATAGTGCCTAGAACATGGAAAGTACTCAGGATTTATTTGTTGAATTAATGAGAAACCAAGTAGTGTCATTAACAAGCTTGTTGGGTTGTGTGAAGTAAGAGTTTTATTCATGTTAGGCTGAATTATTACATGTATTTTATGCTAGCTACCTCCTTAGGACTTTGGAACTCCAGACTTTTTCAGATGATAAGTCTTGTGTGGTGGTGCATGCCTGTAATCTCAGCACCGGGGAAGCTGAGGCAGAAGGATCACTGCAAGTTTGAGGCCAGCCTGAACTACGTAATAAGACCCTGACAGATGCACACACACAAAGATGATTAACAAAGGGACTGTTTCCAAATAAAGATAATTTAAAAGCACCATTGCATTTTTGTAAATCTGTTACATATTGTATGTTTTGTAAAGCACTTTCACTTTTAACAACATATGTGAAAAGCACCAAGTTTTCTTTATTGTTAAGAGTTGTTGAACATCAACTAACAGTGGATTCTTTGTTGTTTCTAATGTTGTGCGGAACAGGATGCCGAAAACGCCATTCAACAGATGGGTGGCCAGTGGCTTGGTGGAAGACAAATCAGAACTAACTGGGCAACCCGAAAGCCTCCAGCTCCCAAGAGTACATATGAGTGTAGGTGTATTGGAGAAGAAAAGGAAATGTGGAATTTTGGAGAAAGATACACTAGATTTTAAATGTTAGACCTGTTCCCGGAGACTTATTGCAGAAATAGATGAGAAGCAAATCAAGACTACTGTTCAAAAATGTACTTAGTTTTCATTTTTGTGATTTTAAGTAATAAATTATATTATCTTTAATGTTAAGTCTCCTCTTAAATAGAGAATGCTGGGTAATTTTTTAGACATTCTTGGGGGAGGTTTAATCCTAAACTTGAATGTAATAAGTATTTTGTAAGCATTTTGATCAAGGTAAATACTGCCATTACAGTAGTTAATACTGAACATTTTGTCTAAGGAATTAAAGATATAAAACTTTTTTCTTCCCAGCAAACACTAAACAGCTGTCATATGATGAGGTTGTGAGTCAGTCTAGTCCAAGCAACTGTACTGTGTACTGTGGAGGTGTCACTTCTGGGCTAACAGGTATGAGAGTTTTACTTGTGGCATGTTGAAATTAATTTTTAAACCAAGAAACTTGGTATTGGTAGGATTGTAATATAACTTATTCTGGTTTCTTGTTTTTATTTTTCTAACAGAACAGCTAATGCGTCAGACTTTTTCACCGTTTGGACAAATAATGGAAATTCGAGTCTTTCCAGATAAAGGATATTCATTTGTTCGGTAAGGTTGGGTTTTTTTTACTCTTTGTGGTCCTGGGAATTAAATCTAGACCCTTCACAGTAAACTACATCCTGGCCCTTTTTAAATTTTTTATTTTGAGACAGGATCTTACTTTATCACTAAATTCCCCAGACTGGGTTCAAACTTGAGATCTTCCTGTCTCAGCCTCCCAGAGTGCTGGGCTCTTAGATGTGTACCACCACATCCAGTTGGATTTTTCTTCCAAAAAGTTTCTCCCCTCAAATATTTTTGAATATTTAACTTGGTGATTTTCTTAGGAATTCTCCTTGGGGTTTGTTGTTTTTTTTTTCAGCAAGAAATAAAACTGTATTTTCTTTTTTTTTTAATTAAGTTTATTGGTATATTTTAGATATACATAATGATCACATTCATCATAGGGACTTTGTACCTGTACATGATTTATTTTTTTTGGTTTTGTTTTTGTTTTTTCAGCAAGAAATAGAACTATATTTTCTTTTTAAGTTTCACCAAAAAAAAAATTTCACCTTAGGTTGTTTTGTTTTTTTTTTTTTTTTGTACTGGGGATCGAACTTGGGTCCTTGCACTTGGCGCAGCAGGCGGCGAAACCACTGAGCTAAATCCCCAGCCTCACCTTACTTTTAAAGGAATGTTTCTTTCATTTTTAAAAAATGTTTCATTCATAAATATTTAAAAGAATTTATATTGATGATTCTTAATATTGTTTCCAATAGGTTCAATTCCCATGAAAGTGCAGCACATGCAATTGTTTCTGTTAATGGTACTACAATTGAAGGTCATGTTGTGAAATGCTATTGGGGCAAAGAAACTCTTGATATGATAAATCCTGTGCAACAGGTGAGGCGGTCCTTTGGAAAATAATTTCTGGGCTAATAATGTTTATTTTAAAATGAAGATTTATTGATAATTTTTCTTAATAAGTTTCTAGCTCAATTTAGAGAATATAAGGGCTCTTCCTATGTGTATTATAATTCCAGAGTGATGTTTCATGGATTGCAGTGGTGATATGAGTGTAACCACCTCATTTGAGTCACACTTACACAGTGGATTTTAAAATCCTCCGACAAACCTAACAGAGTCTTAAATCTTTTTTTAATACTTCGCAGATTTATCCACTTACTACTTGGAGAAGTCACAAGTATGTTTGACTCAATTGAATAAAAAATAAAGCTATAATAAATATATTTAGAGCCTTGGCATTTTATTCTTGATTTAGCAGCCTTTTGTTTTTCCAGGGTGCTATAGTGGTCAGACAAAGATTGTCTGATCCCACAAAGATTGGTGAGTGGAAGATAGAAGTGAGAGTAAAAAAATGCTAACCTATATAAAAATTTTTTTTTTTTGGTACTGGGGATCGAACTCGGGACCTTGCACTTGCAAGGCAGGCAGCAGCACCACTTAGCTAAATCCCCGGCCCCTGTATAGATTTCTTTTTTTTTTAAATAAACCAAACAGAAGAATAAGTTATCTTTGTACCTTCCCAACCTAAAGGAAACAATCGTGGATGGATTACCAAACATGTAAACATTGTACTAAATACAGTTTTTATTATAGGAGCATTACTCACTGCCTTAAAAAGACTGCCACAAAGGCTAGGGATGTAGCTCAGCAGTGCAGTGCCTGCCTGGCAAGTGCAAGATGCTGAGTCTGATTCCTGGTACCGAGGGGAAAAAAATAACTGAGGTAAAATAAACAACCATTGAATAGAAATGAGCAAAATAAAACTTAAATAAATAAAATGTTTCAATTCCCAGTACCAAAAAAAGAAAAAGACTGCCACATAGAGCATCTTGTAGCATTACAGCAATATGACGTTACTATTTTTGTAGCAGTTCCTTACTAAATTCTGTTTATCCTGTCATTTTAATTATAATGATGTCCCTAATGTTTCAACCGTTTTTGGTGTATCAGGGCTATATATATACAAACAACTTAAAATAGTACTGAAATATCTGTTATAATTTTTTCTAATAGCAGAATCAAATTGGATATCCACAACCTTATGGCCAGTGGGGCCAGTGGTATGGAAATGCACAACAGATTGGCCAATATATGCCTAATGGTTGGCAGGTACCTGCGTATGGAATGTATGGCCAAGCATGGAACCAGCAGGGATTTAAGTAAGCATATTTGATCTTTTCCATTATTAACCTTTAAAAATATTAAAAAGAAATTTTAAGTATTCTGTAGGTAATGTGACCCTACTATGTACAATAAAATATAACTAACCTAGGGCCAGGGATTTAGCTCAGTGGTTCCGGCACCTGCCTCGAAAGCGCAAGGTCCCGAGTTCAATCCCCGGTACCAAAAAAAACACACGAAAAATATAACTAACCTATAAAGGACTTAATTTAGAATAGTTTTTAATTTATAGTTCTTTAAATATGTCTCTTTAGAAATTTGCCTAGAAGCCGGGTGTGGTGGCACATGCCTGTTATCCCAGCACTTGGGAGACTGAGGCAGGAGAATCGCTATGAGTTTGAGGCCAGCTTAGGCCACATAGTGAGTTCAAGACCAGCCTGCACATAGCAAGACCTTATCTCAAAAAAAATTTTTTTTTGCCTTGAAGTATAATCAGGGTCATACAAATTTTAGTAATGTTTGGTAATAAATGGAATAATTTTTTGTGAGAAAGTAAGTGCTTAATAAATGTTAAGCCTTTCACATGACTAATGGTTCCTTTAGTTATTCTCTTTTTTTGTACTGGGGACCAAACTCAGGACCTTGCGGTTGCAAAACAGGCAGCAGAACCACTGAGCCAAATCCCCAGCACTCCTTTAGTTATTCTTGAATACATATATTTTCATTGAGAAAGAGCGTTTGTTAGCATTAATTGAACCTCACTCTGTGTGGCTTCTGGCAACCAGCATCCGAACACACTCACAGTTTTCTCCTGGATGGCAAGCTTCTTTTTATACCCTAAATTATACCATTTTACTTACATTTCTGAAAAACAGGCTGGAAGTAAAAATACTTTGCAGGTTAAAAATTACCTTATATTTGTAATGATAAAATTTGTGAATTTACATACACTAATAATTGTTAATTTCTTCCAGTAACATAATTGCTAGTTCTACTGTATTTGGTGATGGAGTTTCTTTCAGGTAGAAGCTTGCTTATCACATGTCCAACCCAGATGGAGATGGACAGTTTTCCTTTCTGAGATGAGAGATGGGTTTTCCTGAGGTCAAAGGGAATAAACATAATAGGTTAAGGGTATTTTCTTAGCTGTATTTCTCACAAAATTTAACTGCCTTAATTAAATCTATGGGGATGCTTGTTTTGAAAAGAAAAAGTTTTTACTTATGCCACTGCTTTCCCTGGCATAGCAGTTTTTCTTCTTTTTTTTTTTTTGGTACCAGGGATCAAACTCAGGTCCTTGCGCTTGCGCACCAGGCGGTGAAACAACTGAGCTAAATCCCTAGCTCCAATTTTTCTTATAAGTGTATTTCCCATTCCGCGTGTATTTGTTAACTTGTTCTTGGCATCACATTGTTTTAACCAGTGCATTTCCTTGCCCCTCTGCTTCTTTCACATTCTCTACCAGTCAGACACAGTCTTCTACACCTTGGATGGGACCAAATTATGGAGTACAGCCGCCTCAGGGGCAGAATGGCAGCATGTTGCCTAATCAACCTGCGGGGTATCGAGTGGCAGGGTATGAAACCCAGTGAAAAAGGACTCCAGAATCTAAAGCCAGTGGCTTGAGGCTACAGGGAGTGTAGTGAAGCCGTTGTTTACTTAAAGATTTATCAAATCAGTCAGTGCAAATATCAGATACAATGTATTTATTTAAAAGATTCATTTTTAATCATGAAATTACTTATCATCCACATTGTTTTAAAAAGAAACAAGATGCTGGATGTCTGCCAATTTTTGCCTTCATTACCTGTTTTGATAAAGTTTCTCAGATCCTTGTTTCAAATACAAATGCAGGGATTGCTGCCACTTTTTTTTAAAAGTAAGAGGCAGAAAATTGCACAATGTTGAACTTTTTTCCACTAAAGTAGTATGCAGTTCTAGTTTGCATTTCTGACATGATTTAAAACATGTAATATAAAGATGTAAAAAAAAAACCAGAAGAAAAACCAAAACTGTGCAAAGTCTCGAAGTTCTTTGTAACCTTCTGCTTCTGCACAATTCTGTTTTAGGTTTTTAAAAATGCATTGTTTGAGTAATCCCATTTCCATTGTTATCCCTTTAGGGTTTTTAAATATAAATTATTAGATTTGCATCATTTTGTATTTACATTTTTCAAAAATTTGTCTTGCCTTATTAAAGTTCTGTAAAATACACTTAAATGGAAAAAAATGATGTTCACTTAAATTGAAGACTTTTCTCAGATGAATTGATAATTGCATTCATCTTGTGTTTTATATGAGAAGGTGCCTCAAGAATTCCCTGTTGGATTTGTTTAAAAGGATTTATATCTTCTGTGATAAACTTTGCTGTGTACCAGGAACTGTAAAAACAAACCTTGTTACTAAAGAAAATCTCTGAAATGTGATAAGTTCTTATGCCATGTTACTTTCCTGTGTCAACCTCTACATTTACATGTATTATTTCATTATGTAAAATGTTTTAGCAATTTAATATTTTGCACAGTTAGCAAACTTTGTATGTCGTTTCCTTCTTAAAGGCAACATGGAGGCTTGACATGAAGTTTATAAGTTTTAAGTTGTTTGCATGTGAATATCAAATACACACTTTGGTAGCTTTTGAGTACAAAGTCATCTGCTCTTGTTTTTCAAGAATTTTGAGACACAAAAGTTGTATGTAAAGGAATATATTAATTTTCCATTTTCTAGTTAGATTTACTTCAGAAGAGTAAATCAAGTGAATTTTAATGTGTACAAATAAGTGGTAGCTGTGAAATTGTAGAATATCCTTATGTCAGGCTTGGGGTTCATTGTAAACTCCAGAATTAGCCTAAAGGACCAGCTAGGCAAAGCATTTTTTAAATGTTCAGAGGCCAAAAGATAAACAACAACAACAAAAAACCCTTTAAAATCCTACCTCCTTAAAACAGCCTTCAAAGAAGAAAATCCTCAGTGCAATCATCATTTTTATTCTTTTGGTACCTGTTTTCTTGGAGTTCCCAATGGGAGAGAAAGGGCAGGATGGCTCCAAGCATTAAGAGGCTTACTGTTTGATGGCATTATTCTAGCTTTGAAATTCCTAGTACATTTCAGTCTCTTAGAAGAGTTGTAGGAGATGGTTTGGTTTGGTTTTCAGTGAAGGTCAGAAACCATCTTCTTCCTTAACTCGCAGAGACAGAGGGTCCCCAGTATATGTATTTGAGTGGTTGATGGTTTTTAAGACCTTCAGAGAGCTCCCAGCAATTTACTTAACAACAACAGCAACAAAGGTCTGTGAAATCTTAAGAGCTTCCTGGCCTGTATCTTCCAGGTAGGAGCAAAGGATTCTAAGCTGGTCTCTAAGCCAATACCTTTTAAACCAGAGCCCAGGAAAAACAGCTTATCATTCTTTGGAGCTCAATTCTATGCAGTTATACTGATGTTTCATTAAGTCACTGTGTATTTTTAAGTGTTGATACATTAAAAGTTGCTTTGTGGGAGATGAGTAAAATTTTGGAATACATGGAAATTTTATTTCCTTGTTAACTTCTACAAATCAGGGCATGCAACCAAAAGCAGCTTAAATGAAATACTCAAAAGTAAATAAATATCAGGAAACTATTTTTAGGTTCTTCTGACTTATGTTTCTATTTTAGGACCCTCATTTTTTCTCTTACAAAAAAAAAAAGATTTTATTTGCTATATAGCTCATGGACTGCAGGGTGAATTGTTGGGGAAAAGTAATTTAATCTGAATAAAAGTACAGTTTTCCATTCATTTTCGCTATCTCAAGTAATAGTTTTTATTAGCCAGTATATTTTCTTACTGTATAAATCTTAAAATGTACATTGACTACTTTTTGAGAAGTGGTACCAGTATTCGTGATGAAAAGGTTACTACTGAACAACTGCACATTTCAGAAACATTGCAAACTTGATTTAAATCTTAGTGTTAAAGCAAATGATTTAAAGATATTTTTCAGTCTAAAAAATTATACTGGTGTTAGTATCAGGTAAGGAAATTGTTCTTAAAGTGATTTCATTCTTTGCAATATGCATTCAGATTTTACTTTCGGATACTGTAAAGAGCCTAAAGTGATTCACTCTCAAATGGGTCATTAATCCAAAATTCTTTACCCTGTTTGGATATTAAAGTTCCTTTATGTTTTCTATAACCCGTGGAATCTTCTTGCAGTGATTATTGTGTGTGAGAATTTTGTTCACTTTGGTCTAGCCATATTGTTATTCATTCTGATATTTATTTATATACTTTAAATCTTACTCTGGAAACCATGGTTTACATTGGGTTACTGCTTAATACCACAAAGAATTTGCATTTTGTACACTTAATTACAGAGCCAGTCTCATTTTCCTTATTAATATCATCTGTGTTGAAAATGAGATTCACGTTTTAATTTTTATTCTCTTTTATCTCTATGCTTGTTCATCTTCCTTTTATATATGCATTATAGTTCTGCTTCACTTTAAAAAGCATTTCAGGCCTAGATTGCATTTACAAAGTTGTTAGATTTACTCAGTAATGTAGGGTGCTCCTGAGGTTACAATTAAATTTGAAAAACAAAATGTGTTTATAGAAAGTGAAAAAGCAAACCTTTTAAATGAGAGAGTGATGATTTCTAAAAGCAATTACACTGGTACCTTGGTTCACAAACAGTTATTTCCACGATTCTCATCACAGAATTTATTCTCCAATTCTGGTTGCACCCAAATTGCAAGTTTATGCAGTTGTGGAAAGAATTAAGTTTGTGAACCCGAGGTACCATTGTATTTCTTTGTGCATTTTCTTCCAATCCTTGTTGTGTTTAGAATTTGAAGAACATAGCTCTAAAACTGTGGGTTTTAATTTAAGGGCCTTAATTAAAATGAGTATGTCTCAATTGAATAGGGTATTTTTTCCCCTTTTTTTTTTTGGAGACTTCATCTATGGCAAGAGATTAACCAAACATGAATCCTTACAAGTATTTATAGTAGAATTCCTTTAGTGTCCTTCAGTTATTAAAAATTTCTGCTCTATTCAGTTGTCTGCATCACTACCTTCAGAGATGAGATTTTTGCCAAAATTAAGCAGTATTTATGTCCTCTGAAGTTGGAGGCTGAAGTTACTCTAACAGTAATCCAAGTATAAAAGGAAGCAGTAGACTTCTTTACTGGGCTATGCTGTCTAGAAAATAGTGTCAGATCATGTTTACTATATAAATGAGTTTGCTGGCTCCTTATTCTTGTTCAGCTCTAAAAAATACCAACAGCCAGATCTATACAAGATGTGGGAGGATGCATCTATGGGAAAACTGACTCCTGAGAGAGAAGATAGGGCCTCACAAAAAAAAAGTTTGGCAGCACCTGCCTGGCCCTGTAATGTCAGTACTTTGAAGGCTAAAGCAATGAAGCAGGGGGATAGCCAGAAGTTTGAGGCCAGCCTGAGCTACACAGTGAGTTCAGGAACAGCCTGGACTACATAGTAAGACCCTGTAAATAAACCATAACTCGCCACCAATCTCCCTACAATTGAAGTGCATCAGGCAGTTAGCTCTGCCCAAGTACACTTACCTTCCGAACAGGTTTATAATGCTTTAGTTTTTAATAGAGACAACCAAATGCCATGAGAAAATTGAGGGAAAAAATCATTTTAGCTCTATATAAAAAGCAACTCTTAAAAATCAGGACATTTCAAAGAACTATAATAAACTCAGATAACTTTTCAAGAAATTGGAGCAGGATACTAGTAAAAGTAAAATTAAAATATGGATAAATCTGAGAATATTAAAAGACAAATGTCTTAGAAGTCAAAAGGGAAGGGAAGAATTAAATTGGATCGATTCAGAAAGCTTTATACACAACAGATCAGATTCCAAGAAGAGAATTCTGTTTGTGGTACTAAGGACTGAACTCAGGATCTTCACACTGAGTGATAATCCCCAGCTCTTTCTTTCTCTTTTCTTTCGTGGTGGTGGTGGGGTACTGGGGATCGAACTCAGGCCCTTGCACTTGCAAGGCAGGCAGTGGCACCACTGAGCTAAATACCCGGCCCTTTTTTTTTAATTTTTTACTTTGAAACAGGTCTCGGTAAGGTGCTGAATTGCCTGGACATGAACTTTTGATCCTGCCTCAGCCTCTCAAAGATGTAGAATTACAAATGTGTAGTAATCATGCCCACCAGCCAAGAGGAGAAATTGAGAAAATAGGGATATGGGTGGAATTTATTAAAAATAATAAGGGCTGGGAATTTAGCTGAGTGGTTCTGCTGCCTGCCTTGCAATTGCAAGGTTCCAAGTTCGATCACTGGTACCGAAAAAAAAAAAAAGTATGGTACTAAGATAGACATAATAATGGAAACACTGAAATGGGATTCAATTTTTTTAAAATTGAAATGAGTTCTGGTGCCGAAAGGGCCTGTGTTAGCTCACACATAATAGAAAATTCTCACCAAAGTTAATAATGTCTAGTGGAGTGTGGTAGCACACACCCGTGATGCCAGCATTCAAGAGGCTGAAGCCAACCTGTATATATAGTGAGGCCCTGACTCAAAAACCAACACAAGATCCTGGGATTTAGCTCAGTGGTTCTGCCGCCTGCTTCGCAAGTGCAAGGACCCGAGTTCAATCCCCAGTACCAAAAAAAACCCAACAACACAAAAAACAAAAACCCATAATGTCTGAATTGTGTGAAAAATCCATACTGGAAATGGGGAGATAGACCAGGGAGGAGAAAGGCTCTGCCTTAATTTTCTCATTTGTAAAATGGAAATGTTATCTATTCCAGCAGAAGATTGAGACAGCACATATAAAGCAAACTGCCTGACACAGTAAACACTCAAAATGCTGCCAATACATAAATTCAGAAAGTAATTGTTCTAGAGCAATATTTATGAATTACATTATATGGGTTTGCCCTTAAGTAAGTCACTATCTTCCATTTCATGTGGCAGTGGCATATGGCTGTAATCCCTGCACTTGGGAAGCTGAAGCAGGAAGATTGCAACTTCAAGGCCAGCCTGGGCTGCATAGTGAAACCCTGTCAAAAAAAAGCGGGGGGGGGGGGGGGATTTAGCTCAGCGGTTTCGCCACCTGTACCAAAAAAAAGAAAAAAAAGAAAACTTGATTTTGTGCATTCTGTGTTATAATCATTTCTGGTCTGAGTTGTTTTTTTATGTGAGTCAACTTGGTAAGGAATTTAAAGATGAAAATGCAAAAATAACTGAATGGGGGCTGGGGATTTAGCTCTGGTTCTGGCGCGTGCCTCACAAGCAGAAGGACCTGAGTTCGATCCCCGGTACCAAAAAAATAATAATAATAAATAACTGAATGGCATATAAATTTTATATAACAGATAAAGCTTCCGGTACTGATGGCAGCTCAAGAAATGGACTCCGTTTTGAAAATGTCAGAGTAGTACAAAACTTGCATTCATGTACTTGTAGAAAACTGCTCTGCTACCAAAACAAATGAAACATCCATCTTTAAATAGTTTTATCAAAAAGCAGTCAAGTGGGTGGCAGATGTAGCTGAGTGACAACGCTCCTGCCTGGCAAACGCAAGGTTCTGAGTTCAATTCCCAGTACCAAAAAAAAAAAGTCAAGTCAGGTGACCTTAAGTCTTCCCACAAATCTCAAGATGTCTTTGAAAATTACCTAAAGAAGTCTGATTTCCATAATATAGGGCCATTTTAGGAGCTTTCTCTGCTGATTTGTTGCCATACAACAAGGGTTAAAAAGTAGGACTTTTGTTCCCTTTTGAATACCACAGGGTAAGTTATCAAACTAGCCAGGTTACTACTTGAAGCGCTTTTCAGTTACATTGTGCTATGGCTGCGTCTAGATGTCCCCCCAAAGCTTCATGCAGTCATAGGTGGGGCTTTTCAGAGGCAGCTGAATCTAGAGTGTGTGACTGATTCATGTTGCAATGCTAAGAATAAGAGTGCTAGGATTAAGGGTGGGTGATTATTAAATCGGTCCACTGATTGGTTTGGACCCACCCTAATCCCAGTAACCTAGATAAAATATAAAAGGGGGAGAAAAAAGCTGCTAAGGGGCCAGGGATTTAGTTCAGTTGTTTCGCCACCTGCGGCACAAGCTCAAGGACCTGAGTTCAATACCCGGTACCAAAAAAAAAAAGCTGTTAAAGTCTCTGGGACTTGCTACTTACCATCTGCCTGCCCTGCTTTGCCATGAACTGTTTCTCTGATGCCCCTCTGCCATGCCATCATGCCTCAGAGCCAGCCTGTTATGGACTGAAACATCTACCAACTATGAGCTAAGTAAACCTTTCTTTCTTTAACTTTGGGGGTTGAGTATTTTGTCTCAGCAATGAGAGAAAAGTAACCAAAACGTAGCAAGCCTAAATTAGTATTCAGATGGGTATTGTTTTAGACTCTTCTTGGCAATGGATACTCTAATTGGATTCTCTAGGATTTGTTTTGCGTTTGGAGCAGGGTGTGCACACTTACAATACCAGCACTCTGGGAGGCTGAAGCAGGATTGAAAATTCAGTCTAGCCTAGGCATTTTAGCAATTTAGTGAGTCCCACCTCAAAATTGGGGTTAGTGAGGATGTCGCTCAGTAGGAAGGGCCTGAGTTTAACCCCCAGCATAGCAGAAAAACATTCCTGTTATGAGGATACACTACTAATTCATTAATTTGGCACCTAAGTTTTGTTTTTATTAAATAGCATGTGTTTTTCTTGGTTTGGGAAAGAATAACATGTAGGGAAAATTGGGGGGCAGGCAGGGCCTCAGTGAGGTTTCTGGCAAATACAAAGTTAAATGCCTGCTAGAGAAAGAATAGCTAAGAAAAACAGCTGATAAGGCTGGCTGTCTCACCATGCCAAGACACAATTCCCTCCTCCCTCCATCTGCAATTAACACAAAAAAAAAGTGGGGAGGGGAGACTATATTATAAAAACTCAGTATATAAAATGTACACTAACACCTAAACCCTCACACACCCAATATATATAAGTACATATAATTATTCTGACCATATTAATACACTAAAATGCATATGTATCCTTTTTACTAATTCGGCCTTGAGTGTAACTTTCCCAAGATAAGCACCTGGACAGCACAAAGAGACCAAAGAAATGCTTATCCAAAAATGTACATGTAAGCAGTGGAAGGGGCAGTGGCCAATTCAGGGTCTCAGAGCCCAAAATAGCCAATC